AAAAAATTGTACATGGGGTTCAGAACCACCTTAAACGTTTTGAAAATTTAAGGTGGCTCTGAACCCTGTGGACAGAATTTAAACGTTTTCCGAATTCTTCCACCTCTCACTTAGAGACTTCAATCAAACAGAAAGTGTAAATTTCAAAGGGAGAAAGTGACCTCACACTCAACGCTTTACCTTAAAAGCATTTGTGAGCGCCAACGAGGACGAATCCGTTGCAAGGGATTCGAGTGGCTGTGATATTTTGTGTTTTTAAAATCGTTGAAGCATTACAATGACCGACAAGTACGGTGATTCTCCAAAGCACAAAAACGATTGCTATAGGAACTTTCCGTCAGTCATAAAATGGTACGTCGTTCGCAGAGTCAAGTTAAATCCCAATAGGCAAAGTGTTTTAAGTCTCATTCTTTATTTTGGCTTACTTTTATAGGGCGCAATTAAGAAATGCTTTACACCCCGCCATTTGAACCTTCCTTGGGACTCATCCAAAATGAACTCTTGTAGATATTAATACTTTGAGTTCAATATAATAACCACTAATAATAACTTCATATAGTTTAATGTCATAACTTTAATTTTAAAAATGGTTTTCTTGTTGATAAGTAAGCGAGCCACTATTTTCTGTTTCTATTATGCCTTTATAACAGTCTGTTGGCTCGCTCACAAGGTATTTGTAGAATAAAAATCAGTTCGATTTATACTACAGTTACAAAAGGCTCAAAATAATTTCATTTCTGCCATGGGAGTTCCACCAGTTTGAAATGGTGATAAGTACATCGCTTTTTCAGTGGTTTACACTTGAGTGTCTAAAGTAATTCGTATTTGCTTTCGTTTCGTATTACGTTGACGATTGGCTTCAAAAATCACGCCACTCTGTCATTCTCATCCAATCAGAAGAACTCCTAAACCCAATCGTGACTCGCTCGCATAAGTTTTCTCGCCCTTCGTGTCGGTAACATGTGTTTGCTTCGAGTTTTGATTTGTTCATTACATTGCCTGTGTCCTTTGTGATTGGCCATAGAGATTAACTTTGCTCTTAGGACACTCAATTGAAACCTGCTCTACAACAATTCTTTGTGAAAACATAACATTTTTGAAAGATCCAGATTACATATACTTTTTAATACAAACAAAGTCATACAGACTGCTACACAAAAACTTTATTCCTCGCCATTCCACTTTTAAACGTGCTCCATCCAGTTGTATTTTTTTTTTTATCTTATCTCTCTTCAGTTTGTTAGGGTTACAAGTGCTGAGGTAATTTCAGTAAGGTTATTTAGTCACACTCTTTTTTTTTATAAGAATATACTTTATAAGAATGTCGAGGCTGTGAAATTTTAAGAATATTTTACGAATAAACCCGAGGCAGAGACTTTGAATAGAATATAATTTTGTTTGTTGGAAATTTGTAAATACATTCCAATTATATGTTTTTGACTAAACCGTATAAAATTCTTCCTTTCTCTAAACGGCAAAGTAGCCAAAAAGCAACAAAAACAGCCCTAGCCGTATGTTCGATGCCAAAGCCATTTCTGCAACAAGTTATGCGCGTCATATTAGGCTTCAATGCCTGTAGACTGGCTCCAAAATTACTTTAACACCATACAGACACCAAAGACATTTGAAAACAGAAATGTTATACGCTATAATCTAAGAATATTCGCAAGAATATTTTCAGCCTAAAATCGGCAGAAAACTAAGAATATTCAGCTTCGGGCGGAAAAACAATATTCTTATAAAAAAAGAGTGTATTCGGAGAAATAAATACTACAATCCCTAGCCATTTACTCTCCTCAGTTTTGAAACAGATTCTGTTTGATAACCACGCAGAGGTTAAATTTCTCTCTTTTTTGTGTCGTGGTGTATAATGGAACGCTAGGTCAATGGAAATATTCTTTTCCCTAGTCATATAACCTTTCCAAAAAGATTGCACAGCGAGTCAATTGATTTCCCAAATCCCGTGACATCCAGCTTATTTTAATTTTAAACTACTGTCAATCACGGTCACGAAATCAACCAAACAGGGGAATGTCGTCATCAGTCACGTTTCTCAGGCATGAAACTCTCCTCAAATCAGTTTTTAAGATAATCAATGACGTCATTGTGATTGACAGCACCAAAAAGTCGATCTTTTATCTAAGTTTAGAATTGTCAGTTTAACTCCAGTTCGAAAACCTCTTGGTAACTACTGGCCCAAAATTCTCCCTTAACGGATTTTATCTCGTTAATTTAATCAATTTTGTGTAAATCTGAGGCTGTTGATAACAACTTAAATACCTAACGTCATTAGACTGATATTAAGGTGGTTTAACCAAGCAGAGGCTTGGAGGTTATTAAAATTCTGTTTACCCCCTTAGAACGCTGGGAAAACTGTCCACTTCACCAGTTTCTGTCGTGGAAGAACCATCAACTTGGTAGCTTATCTTGTATTTTAATCTGATCTTTTCCTGTACAAAGAAGAATTGTTGAACAGCAAACGAGAAACGTTTTAGTTAAAAGGGCTAATAAGAACAAGAGATATTTGCAGGAAGACAAGTGTGGCAAACAAGAGTTTCGTCTTGTCCAAAACATATAATGATTAGTCTCTCTTTTCCCTTAGCTAGCCATTTTCCATCTAGAGTTTCGTTTTACTAACGAAGGCGAAAAGATGGGCTACTCGCAGCCTTAAGAAAACAGTAAAATATCAAAAGTGCTCTCCTTTGCTGGCGAATTCTATTGTTATTATTATTATTATTATTATTATTTTCATGATAATAGCACATAACAATCTTGCGACTAACAAACCTTGCGCGCGATTTTGTGCAGGTAAGTCAACCAGAGAACGGAGAAAATCTTTTGGAGTAGAGGACGAGAACCAACAACAAACTCAACCTACATGTGCCGTCAGGAGACAAACCTGGGACAGATTGTGTCATACTTGTCTCATTACTGACACAACTAACCAAGTAACAGCTATCTCGTAAGGACAGCAAAGGAAAATCATCGCTTTTGCCATTTCGGATACTAAAGGAACTCGAATTGATCTTGACTGAAAAAGACCTTTTCATACAAAATTTGGATATGTAACTGATTTTTATACTGAACTTGACACAATGATTGTCACAACTACTACTTCCTAGCTACCTTAACAAAAAATCATCAACGAAAGTGAAGAAAAGGATGCAAACAAATTGTTTTGTTATTCGCAGAGAAGATAACTTCATTGCAATTGGCTGAGAGCAGGCCAATTTATCGTTATTTTCTTTGCAAATTAACGCGCGCTTTAATTATTTTCTCATTCATATTAGAAATGAGTGATCGTTTGAAAGCTCGAACAATCAAGGATTTACACTACTCGTGATAAATCCTTTCAAATTGAACTCTTCTAAAGTCTCGTACAATTGTGAGATAATTCTTAAATATCACACGTAGTCTAAATCCTTCATTGGACTTGCATTCATACGATTACCTGCCGTAATCGTGCCAAAATTTACCCTTTTTCTCTGGCAAATTCACTGTCACAGGAGAAGGTAAACTCACCTTCGCTGGATTAGCAATCAACATGACTTGTGTAATGGCGGATGGCGGGAGGATTGGATTATGAGGAGGCAACTCACTACCAGATGGAGGTTGAAGTTTTACTCTCATCGTCTGCAAAACAAAACACATTCCTTACCAGTCTGATACTTAAGCCTACTACGCGGACGTTCTTATGTCTCGTCACGCACGGGGAGAGAAATGATTGCGCGACGAGCTCAGAGGAGAGGCTACGTAGCATGATACTAGAGTGACAATAGGGCCCTTAACAGCCACTGGTCACGTAACGTCGCCAATCAAAATAGTACTTTGCGTGACGAGTGGGCCAAAATAGGCAATAATTCTTCACTTATTTCAAAGCTGTACATCATTCTTGATGGCATATATACGCCACATTGAATTGACATCATTCGTTGAATAACTTATTACGTCGTGCCTTCTTTGAACATTTTGAAATTTTCACTACTTGTCTATGCATTCCTATTCTCATCCACGAGGTCATTCGTCAAACAGTGTGACCTTTTGGCT